GACAATACTTTAGTTGGATATGAAATTCAGCGCTCCATAAGATTAGTATCGGAACTAATTCAAGCGAGAAATTACGCGGGAAATTCAAATTTTAATTTTGGTGGGAAAATTTAAATAAAGTTTAAAATTTTTAAATATAATTTGGTATATTTGAAAAAAAAATGCATGACATTTTTAATTTCAAATATACACAATACAATTTAGGAAAAATAAAACAAAATGTAATTTATTTATTTATTTAATACTTGTAAAACAGCTTTGTAATTTAATATAGAATAAAAATATGCTATTATCACTGAAAATTGTACAATTTTATGGAAAAAGCTTACAAAAAAGTCAGAAAAATAGCAATTTAAATATTACTGAAATTACATAAATCGTCAATATCACAAAATAAAAAATAATAAAATACACAATGTACTGCAAAATTTAAATAAATTGCATAATAAATCCTTACGAACTAATACATTTTAATACAAGTTTCTGCATGTGATACTCAAATATATATTTATACAAATTGTTTAGTTACTTGTACATAACACTATTCGTTAAGAAACTCTTCTACTGAATAATATGATCTTTCAGATAGATAGGATTTTGTTCTTTTACGGAACTCAAGGAAAGAAGTTGCAGATTTAAGTTCATCAATCAGTTATTTGTTCTCTAATATCAAATATTTATTGGACTCACCATACAAATGTAAGCTAGGAATTGCATTTTTATACAATTTATGACTCCATGAAGAAACAAACTTATCTTCGAAGTGTCTGTGGCAGATTCGTTTTGTTTTATAAACTGTACTAGCATTCATCATATCTAAATTAGGATTATTTATAACACTAAGCCACTTCCTAAATCGTGTAATGTCTTCATCGTGGATTTGGAAAGGTATGTCTAATTAATGACGAATTAGTACATTGTAGGATACAACATTTATTGTGAAAAACCATATTTAACTGATTATTATTAATCTGCAAAATACTATTTGAACACCGCCAGGAACATTTAAAACGTATATCACTGAGGTAGGTGATTTGTTTTGTAATTTACAAACTAACACTAACAAAATCAAAATATAGACGCTAATATGACAATTGGCGATTGACAATTATAATTCTTTTCTTAGTTGTGTTCTAAACCTAAACTGCAGAGTAAAAGTAGAGACAGAGTAAAGCGACATCTGAAGATTAGTATCGGTACTACAAATGACATTAAGTTTAATTTGACCTTGAGCTACTTACGTGAAACGTCTAGTTATTAGTGGTCTGTGCTCTACTGAAAACTTGTTTTATTTGACATATCAAGTTTTGGCAAATTGCCACAGAAATATTTTCTTTTAATTTGCGTTGCCTTATTCTCACAAAATTTTTGTACCTAACTTCTAAACAGTGATAAAAAAGTTTTTTTTGAAATGTGTAGTCATATTCTTTATTGCTCCATTTGTTTGGTCTCATCTTTTTTTTCCTAGGTTTTATTAGCCCGCATAATTTTCCAAAAGTGTACTAGATGTTCCTCTACTTTCGTAAAACATTCCGCGCTAAGCTTTTGACAATTTTTTTATGCTTCGTTCAATAAATATATCATAGATATCTGACTTTGACAATTCAATATAAATTGCGATTTTTTGCTATTGGTAATGATGGTAGACTTTCTGATTTGATTTTCTTCTACAGTCCATTCCGTATTTTAGTCCTTTATAAATATTATTTATCATTGGCATTTTACACTCCCACCTTACAAGCCGCTTAATTTCCGATATTTTATTTATGGATGTCTCGCATGTATACCTATAATCGGTTCACAATTTGTCGATAGCTCACTACAAGTTTAACCCTAATTAGAGAACTGAAATACAAAGAGGATAGGTAATACGATATAATAGTAAAAACCAACCTGAAACTGACGGTTTAAGATGTTTTCGACTAACCCACCTTGTATCTAAGGAAATACAATACAGTAGTTAACCTTATAATCCGATTATGAAGGTATTTTGGTTACAGATGACCGACCGGTGTCGTTGAGTATACGATTGAAACATTTATTTGAACTAAATAAATATATTTTTTAAATTGTATTTTTGTTTTAATAAAACTTCTTTATTTTATTCAAAAATAACAAGTTTCTTGCCATTTGTAAAGGATATATATATATATATATATATAATATATATATATATATATATATATATATATATATATATATATATATATATATATATATATATATAGCGAGTGTTTGCAACTTTAATTTTGTCGCTTCTCGCATCCCAATCGCCATAATTTCTTATCGGCCCAGTCTCCTTCTTGAAGACCTCTATTTTCCATTTCTATATGAATATTGGATATCCATTTCTTTCTTGGCCTTCCCCTTTTATTTTTCTGTGTAGGTCTCCAGTTCCAAACCTTTCGTGGTATCCTTTCTTCGTTCATCCGTCTCAGGTGTCCATACCATTTTAATTGTTTTTCGGCTATCGTATCCATTACTGTGTTCTTTACTTTCATTCTCTCTCTTATGTTTTCATTTCTTATGTGGTCAAACAAAGTTAACCCGGAACATCTTCTCCAGTACATCATTTCCGTTGAGAGGAGTTTTTGTGACATATTCTTGTTAAAGACCCACACTTCTGACCCGTACGTCAGCACCGGCTGAATCATAGCCTGATATATATTTTTCTTTGTTTTCTTAGTTAAAGTTTTTTTCCACAGGATCGGATGTAGTGTTTTTATCATGTTTTTTCCTTTCCCTATTTTTCTTGTTATATCTTTGTCGTCTCTCCCGTCTTCGCTTAGTGTAACTCCGAGATATTCGTACTGATCAACGTTTTTAATTAATCCGCTTTCTGTTTCCATGTCTTGTCCGATGCCTCCTATATTCATGTATTGTGTCTTTTCGGTATTAACCTCTAATCCCCATTTTTTGAATTCGTCTATTAGTTTGTTTATCATGTACGTCATATCTTGTAGGTCCTCGGCAAGAACTACCTGGTCGTCTGCGAAGAGGATTGTGTATATAGGAGTGTCATTTACCCATATGCCCATTGGGCTGCATTTTCTCATCCAATATTTTAAAGCATTACCAAGATATATTTTGAATAGGGTTGGGGAGAGGCAAGAGCCCTGTTTGACACCCTTTGTTTGGGTGAAACCATTGGAAATTTGGTTTCCAACCTTAATATAAGTTTGGTTATCTTGATATAGCTTTTTCACGGCATTTATATATACTGCATTTATACCTGCGTTTTCCAATGTTGTCCATAGTCTCTGCAGTGGTACGGAGTCAAACGCTTTACGGAGATCTATAAAAGTGGCATGAAGTTCTAGTCCTCTTGCTAATCTCTTTTCTATTAGATGTTTGAGAGTAAATACATTGTCGACACAAGATCTCCCTGGTCGGAATCCACTTTGTTCTTCGATCTCTGTGGCTTCTTTTTCTATTCTGGCTTTCAGAACTCTTTCATACAGTTTGCCAGTGGATGACGTAATGCTGATACCTCGGTAATTACTGCAGTCATTCCTGTTTCCCTTTTTGTAGATGGAGTTTATGTACGAGACTTTCCAATCTCTTGGGATACTTTCTCCTTGTAGGCACTTGTTAAACATTTTACAAAGCAATTCTAATGTTATTGCAGTGGCATGTTTGAATAACTCGATAGGTAAATCACCCGGCCTAGGAGCTTTATTATTTTTCATTTTTTGTAATGCGTTTTTTATTTCTTCTACGGTAATCATCGCCACTTCATTTAACCCCGTTTCAACTATATGTATATGTGTGTCTAGAAACTGTGTACGTTGTTCATTTAATAGATTTTCGTAATAATTTTTCCATCTTTCTATGTCTATGGGGTTTATTTTTTTTGTTTCGTTTGTATTTTTTCTAAGACTGTTGATAGTTTTCCAAGCTTGTCTGGACCTAGATCCTCCTACCATTGAGCTTATTTCTGCACACTTGTTGTCCCAGGTTATGTTTTTTGTTTTTTTAATTTCCTTTTTTACTATATATTTGTATCTGTTATAGTTCTTTCGGTAAAGATACATTTATCTAATTAAGAGGAAAGGCGCCAAATATCGCCTGGCAAAATTTATAATGTGTTTTAAATGTATCCATTATTTTCGAATCCGGAGAAAACTAATAAATATTTTTGAAAAATTTAAACGCAGAATGAAATATTACATTATTACTGAGGGAAGTCCCTGAAAACTTCTGCAATGCTTATTTTAATATGTTATGTAATAGGGATAAAAAAGAGAAAATATAGTATAATTTTTAATTGAAAATATTGCATGCAAAAGAAACTTTTTATTTATTCTAATAAATATTTCATTCTGCCTTTAAATTTTTCAAAAACACTTTTTAGTTTTCTCAGGATTTGAAAAAAATGGATATATGTAAAACACATTGAACATTTTGACAGGCGACATTTTGCGCCTTCCCCTTTAATACCTTACGATTACAACTACTATTACTTACCTTATATAATTACGATTAGAAAACTATTCGAATTTAAAATAAATAGGATTTTGGGATTAAATCGTTTCAATTTCCACTTTGGAAATCGTTCTCAAAATACAAACACTAAATTTACTGTTTGTATTTTGAGAACGATTTTCGAAGTGGAAATTGAAACGTCAATAAACGTATTTTTATCTTTAATTGTGGCTTATTCCCAGTTAAATAGTAATTAATTTAAAATGCCACAAGAAAATAGTTTCAGAACAATTCTAATATATAAATAAACATGAATGAGCAATGGGTAAAAGACAAAGTAAACTACCGATGAATTTTTATGCTGTAAGCAGGACCTATCTGGGAAGCCATCCTCATACACTCAGCAGCTTATTAAACTTTTTTGTTTTTCCTTATAGTTACATTTTATCGATTAAGGAAGTTGTACTCTATTATTTTTAAATATTTGTATTGGAAATTCACCAGTAAATGGTGCAGAAACTACAAAAATTACTATAATCTCCATATTTTTATTTAAATAATAGATTAAAACTTACCCGCAGCTATGATATGAAACACACAAGGAGATCTTTGTGCACCAATCCTGTTGGAGGCATAGCATAGTAAAGTACCATAGTCCAGTTCAGTCATGGGAGTATACGAAACTACACTTGCAGTACCACTACGGGCAATGTAGGATTGACTCACATCAACCGAGTCGGCAGAATTATTGAATGTCCATTTGAATTCAACATCAGGTGGGTTGGCATCTACATGGCAACTGATCTGAGCTCTTTCTTGTTTTGCTACACCGTAGATTCTTGTTTGATTTGGCTTACAACTAGGGGCATCTGTAAATATGTATTAAATAAAATGAATATAAAGAATATATTACAGAAAATTGAGTAAGTAAAACCTCCATAAAGATATTGTATAATTGCGGTGTGGCGGCACTTTATTACCCCATTACCGCACCTGGCAACCAAAGTTGCCAGTGTCTTTTAACACCCATAAAATCTCATTTGTATTTTGTGTGGCCTATTTTTAGGTGGTATATAATTTTTAGCCAATGTCCAAATGTATTTCTAACCTACAACTTTGCTTCTAAACTTGTCAGATGCTCGCTAGTAGTTATTTCAATATTAGTGTGTAGCAGCAAACAAACCGAGTCCTAAACAATGTAAGTATTTTTTAGTTAATTTATAATATTTTCTGTTCATATTTAGTTCATTTTAAACTAAAGGGTTATATTATATTTTGATCTAAGAAAATTACCTGTTTATTGATTTCTAACATAATTGTGGTACACCGAATTCACGTGGACACTTTAGTTGCCACTGAGCACTAGAATGATTTATTGTTTCTTTTAGATCTTAAGGTAACACGTTTAGCGTGGATGAGATTATGAAAGCTTGTGAAGAAAATTACGGATCAAGTTTTTTTAGAAGAATCAAGTCTGTAGAAATAATTATTTCTATCGAATCTACTAAAGCTGATACTGACGAAGGTTCAGATTTATCAGATGACGAAACTGAAGGAAATCCGAATCATCAACAGGTAGAATCTTCAGATCACACACGAATGTTGAGTTGGATGAGAAAATTGCTGAGAATTATTCGGAGATTACAGTAAATATATGTTTGGGTAACAAAAATATTGATTTGCCGTAGCCAAGTACTTCAAAACCTATTGAAAACAACACAGTAAGTATCTGTTTGGATGAGAAAAATATTGATTTGCCACAGCCAGGTACTTCAAAATTGGTACTTCGATTCGTAACAAAAAGCGAAAAGTAATTGAATCTACAAAGACTGTTTGGTCTCAGCATAAAGAAAACGGTTGGAATTTACCTGCCATTACTATACCCTCTGGACCATCGACTATAGATTTTTTGAAAAACTCGGTAAATTCTACACAAACTAATCTTCATTACTACCAACTGCCGAGTAGATGGATGTAATGGTAAAATGAACCTTACTGCAAGGTAGCTATAGTTGCAGAGGCAATGCGGAGACAGGTTGAAAATAAATACTGACAGGTTTTACAAGGTCCGTCCTCTGTTTGATTATCTAAATAATTCAGTGTTAGGTCACGAATTACCATACTTGCAATTTAGAAGACAAGTAGTATAACAGTATCTTACAAAATATGGTTGTTCTCCAACTAAACCCGGGTCCCATACTCGTTTTCAACATCCGCTGTTTTAGGAGATCTAACAGATGGACAAAGAAAAATCACACTATCGTGAAAATAGAGTCAACAACCGAAGTGCAAAATGTGCCAAAGAAAAACAACATACTTGTGTAACAAATGTAATTTGCCCCTACATGTGACTTGCTTTGAAACATTCCATAAATACTTTTTCCAAACTATGTATCTCTAGTTTTATTAAAGAACGATTAGTTTTTAATACATTTTTCTGACATAGAAATTTTTTTATTAATACGAAACCGTAAGCGCTCAGTGGCAAATTGCCCTTTGACGACAATTTTTTTTACATTTTTTGGTAAATATATAACACTCTTTATAATAAAATCTGCAAAAAAGAATTCAATTTTCAAACTTTTTTAGTTCTGAGCACTAATGGGTTAAAATCGGTAACTACGTACAATAACGCGGTTGTGATGCTTTAGGAATTAGTGAATGAAAATTGAGATCTCCAATAATAGACAAGGCAATGAAGCAATAAACCTACCAAATCGCAGTAGGATGGATATCAATGAAACTTTTTGCGTTTGATTCGTATGAGCATCAGGAAATTTTGTGAATAAAAATGATGATGTAAAAATGAAGTTTTTTGCTTTTTGGATCACTGAATATATATATATATATATATATATATATATATATATATATATATAATATTATATATATATATATATATATATAATATAATATATATATATATATATATTGTTATGATATGTAAAATCGAGAAATTGGTTTGCTTAAAATATTTCAAAGTTCCAAAAAATAAAATAATTCAGATAAGTAGGACAATAAACAACAAACATTTCGAAGAATGAAAGTCTTTTAATTTTGGATTACCTGTATTGAACAAAACGTAAGATATGCATAAATTATTTTCTTTGTTAAAATATATTTGAGTGACCTGCATAAGCTTAAGTGAAATCCTAGACAATGGAAGCGGGTTTTCCAAATAAATTTGTGCAGTAATTAGGACAATAGAATAGATTTTAGAAAGATATGTTTTTGTTAGTTCATAAGAATTGGTAGAAAAAGATTATTTTGTAAATAAGTTTCAGGAAATTTTATAATTGTAGGTAAAAATTTGTTTGTGTTATAAAAATGAAGAAATGGGAGAGGTATGACGCTTTTAATTGGATGAGATTGAAAAAGGTATGGTTGGTTTGAGAATGAGACGTTAGTTAGTTTTTGAAGAAAAAAAAGATAGTCAGTTGGTTTTCCAAGTGTGCAAGGCGAACAGTCATTGTTCTCTGGTGGTTCCCGAGAGGTAGCAAGCAGTAGTGTTGAATGTTAGTGAGTTTTTGTGGAGTTAGTGTATCTGACAGAAGCTGATCCAGCAAAATATTGTAAGTCATATTTTTCTACTTATATTCCAAGAGTCACTGTTCAGGCCAATAAGAGATTCAGTTTATCGTAAAGAGAAGATATTCCAAGAGTCATTTTTCACTCAGGCCAACGAGAGATTCAGTTTATCGAGAGGAGAAAGGCTAGCATAATTTGAACGATTCGTGCATTTGAAGGAGATCATTAAGGACGATAAACTTGCAACAATTTGTTGTATGATTGCTGATTACCTAGGGAGCTGCTAAGAATAGATAGTATAGGCTACAAGGAACAAGGATTTGGACCACTCATCATCAGAGAGAGATAGTTTTGTTTTTCTGCAGTTTTTCTTTTATTGATAACACAATTTTTTCAATTACTTTAGAAAAGATATAAATATTTTGATTAGGAGATTTAGAATAATAATTGGGGTTTTAAAATTTTAACTAATATTGTTTGTACCAATAATTTTGAAGGTTCACGTACGCAGAACAAAATTTTGAGAATCATTATATTATGAAATATTGTTTATTGAACACATTTGAGTGTGAATTTTATTTCATTATTTTTATTTCAATATATAATGTTATATCATTATGTGTTTTTTATTATTCCGTTACTCTTTGGACCTTACCTTTCACATGTAGAGCATAGATATTGAAACACGAATATAACCCTGAGATAAGAGAATTAAAAAGTGTGATAGAATCATAATCATATCATTTAAATAATTTTAATTAATTAATTAATTAATTAGCTAATTAATTGCTTGGCACACTAAGATTTTGAATATCACAATAATATATATATATATATATATATATATATAATATATATATATATATATAAATATATATATATATGTAAATACTTTTTTCTTTTTGGGTGTGGTAGTCAATAAAAAATAGAGCTTTGCTAAGGCGTACTATTTATTCTGAAATCCGAGCTTTCGGTGGTTGTTTCCCACCTTTATCAAGGTCTACAATGAAAATTACTATTAGATGTTAGTCAAGAGATGTTGTTTATTGCATTAAATGTACTGAATGTCCATCCACGTACATTGGTGAAACTGGAAGAAATCTGTCTAGTCGTATCATTTCTCATAAGAGTGACTGTAGACTAAATAAACCCACTTGTGCTTTGGCAGAACACACTATCGATCTAGACCATAAGATAGATTTCAACAATGTAAAAATATTAGCCAGAGAGAAAAATAAATTTAAAAGAACATTCTTAGAAATGGTACATATCAGCAGGAGTGATGACAACAATCTGAATAAAAGATCTGAGATCCAGAATCTTAGCAAAATTTACAATTTTATTTTGACTTTTGACTAGGGTTTTCTGCATCTCAGAGTGTTTCATGTCTTGTTTCTTAAATTCCATTATTAATTGCTATAATTATCATGATTAACTTCAGTTATTATTCAGATGTTCATTTTGTTTTGGTTGTTTGTTTTTTCTAAACCTACTTACTAAATACTATTTTCTTTTTATTGTTTGACATAATGAACTTTTTTAAATTTCCCTCTCAATTTAAAGTTGGTAACATGGTTGGTAGTACTTAAAATCACAAACGGCATTTTGTTAGACATCAGTTTGAAAGTTTGTTTTTTGTAGTTACATCGAACTATTTAAACAACAATAGTTCGTCCTAATACCTCTTTCTGTTCGTGAGATGTGACTGAATTCAAACCTGCGAAGACGACTGTTTTTGTCAAACATGTCATCTTATTTTTTACTTTTTAAACCTTGTAACATGTTCTTTAATTTTTAAGTTATTTTAAAGTTTTTAAGTTTTAATGCCTTCAGTAATTCAGATCATATTATGTTATTTAACGCTGTGTTTTATATGCTATGAATCTTACTTTCTGGTAAGTTTTTATAACTTTTATATTACATTAGCCTAATTTTATAACACAGTAATTTTCATTGTAGACCTTGATAAAGGTGGCAAACAACCACCGAAAGCTCGGATTTCAGAATAAATAGTACGCCTTAGCAAAGCTCTATTTTTTATTGACTACCACACCCCAAAAAAAAAAGTATTTACATATTTTTTCCAAACTAGTCAAAAAAAAAATTTTGGACTACCTTGTCTATATATATATATATATATTATATATATATATATATATATATATATATATATTATATAAATAATATATATATATATATATTATATAATATATATAAATATATATTATATATATATATATATATATATATATATATATATATATATATATATATATATATCATGACGACGATGATCTCCGAGGCACGTGGTGCACTACAAAATCACTGAAAATCATTACTTAGTGATTCTTTTGGTAGCTGCACACCTATATTATATTTGCGATGGTGTGCGAAGCATCTGGTACCCGGAAAACCAATACAACTCATTAAAGTGTGGTTTTTGGGGTAGCTAAACACTAATATCATGCCAAAGATGATGTATGAGCCACTTTATGCACAGGTATTCTCGGCGTCTTGAGTTTAGTAAAAATTCGACACACTAATTAAGGGTTGTCACTCCCGAAAGTACTTTTTAAAAAGGCCCTTTTAAAGGTACAACTAACAGAGTAACTGCTTTTTATTTAATATAATTACAACTGACTTTGAAATAAAAATTAACAGTATTTATATGAAATTAATTGATGACGACCTGTCTGCACTATGTGTCGAAACTGTTGATCGGCTGGAGTATTGAACTGCAATACCGCTGACAATTGGGGTTATTGTACCGTAATTCACTATAAGGGGTCAATCCTCAGGGATTCTTGTGGTCGCTGAACACTAATATCATGCCGGCGATACTGTGCGAGGCTTCTGATGATCAAAATAGGCCTAAGCTCTTAGAGTTTTGTAAAAATTTGATACAAAATTAGGGCAAACTCGTTGCTCGGTAGTTTTTGGGATCGCTGGATACTAGTATTATATCGGCGATAGTGTGTGAGGCATCTATGGCAAAGGATGGCCTCATCTCCTGGAGTTTTGTGTTAATTTGATACAAAATCAGTGCAAACTTGTTGCACACGGGTGTTGTAGGTTCACTGAACACTAATATCATATCGGTGATTGTGTCCGAGGCATCTTGTGGTAAGGAGAGGCTGGTCTCTTAAAGTTTGTACATCAGAAAACATAATGTTATGATATTGGTGATAGTGACCCAAAATCCCGAGTAATGATTTTGCCCTAATTTTGTATCGAATTTCCACAAAACTTAGGAGACTATACCGAATTTTCGCAAAACTCTAAAAGACGGAACCAGGTACCTTTGAGACCATCTTCTTCTTCCTCTACGGCACTACAGCCTAAATGGAGGCTAGGCCTCACTTTAATTTTGCCTCCACTCTTGCTTTTTTCTGTGGCTGATCTTCTCCATATACGAACTCCTAAAAGGGCTTGTGCCTTGCTGTTTACTCTGTCTTTCCAGCGCTTTCTTGGCTTTCCTACGCGTCTCTTTCGCTGCATTTTAGTATTCAGTGCTCTTTTTTTAGCTTATCCTCTGCCATGTTTATCACATTCCAATCTTTGTATTTTAATAAAGTCTTACAGTGATGCTTCCTCATAAAGTTGAGAAAGTTCGTTGTTGTATCGACTTCTGAAGATTACGTTTTCCCTCACAGGTCCTAGTATTCTCCTCAGTACTTTCCTTTCGAATATGTCGAGTTTGCTTCTGGATGTTTCTTTCAGGACCCATGCTTCACTGCCATAGCATGCTATTGATCGAATTAAGATTTTATAAATACCCATCTTTGTATTTCGGTGGACATTTTTAGACCCAAATACATGGGAGATGACAAAATAAGCTCTGTTTGCCTGTGTTATTCTCTTTCGTATTTCTCCACCTTCTGATCCGTCGGCATATATTTCTACTCCCAGGTATGTAAACTTTCCAAGCATTTCAATGTAATCTTCATGTATAATTTTTTGTGAAACTATATTTCTTCTCGTCTGTATGATTGTTTTTATTTTTTCTTTGTTTCAGATCTAGCCTTTTTGTCTGCATTTTTAACTCTGTGTATGTTTCCTGTGCTCCTGTTGATGTTCTACTCATAGTATTAATGTCATCGACATAAGCGGCCAGTTGAACCGTTCGGTTGGTCAGTAGGTTTTTTCGTCCAGTTTTCACATGCCTGAGTTTCATCCATTGTGGCTTTAATGAGTCTCATTAATTTGTGTGGTATTGCCAATTTAGCCAATATACTGTAGAGTTTCTTCCATTTGACCGAGTCGTATGTCTGTTTGAAGTCTACAAACACGTTGTGAACAACAATGTCATGTTCCCATGATTTACTCAAAATCTGTTTGACTGTAAATATTTGATCCAGTGTCGATCTCCCCCATCTGATACGCTCCAATAATATTTTCTGCTAGTGGTTGAAGCAGCTATTTTATAATATATGTGAGACATTTGAGATTATCGCCGTCATGGTATTCGTCATCAGTGACATCAAAAAACCCTAATAGTAATACTGAACTCATTTCCGTTAATAAAACACTAAAAGCTTTTGTTTTAAAACCTTCCAGAAAATTATTATCACTACAGCTGATTCGGCAGAGTGCCTTTCTCAACTGATCTATTTTTGGTCGTTTAAACTTTAAAGACTTTAATTAAATAAGTTGAAGAGGGGAGAACTGTTTGTTTTAAGTCAGCTATTTAGAATTATGTGTCCATTTTTAAATTTGTTTATTTCCATAGATTCTAATAAAGACAGCTTAAGGCCTTTATTTTTAATGTGAAGAATTTGAATTAAGTATGAAATTCGCCATTAACAGAATGATTTTGATCTGGGCGTACGTTTTAGACCATAATCATTGCTTTACTGATGGCTTTATTAGAAACTATAAAAATTAAACAAATTGAAAAATACAGACATAATTCTGAATGTCCAACTTAAGACAAACAGATCTTTACTCCTCAACTTATGTAGTTAAAGACTATAATGTGTAAACGCATACCAAAAAGAGATCACTTGAGAAAGGGTCTCTGCCGAAACAGCTGTATTGATAATAATACATAATAAATTTTGTGGAAGTGTAAAAAAAGTTTTTAGTGTGTTATTGATAAATAAAATTTCCATTAAGTAATGGTCGAATCCATCATTTATTTCGTTAATTATTTCTGGATAATGAAATAACTTTTGAAGGCAATCACAACAATAAAGTAGGACAACAACATAGAACTTCATGATAGAGAAAAGGTCATCAAGCGGTCTTCCAAGAGGAACGTTCAAGAAATTGCATGAAATAGATTGTGTTCATGACAACACCTATATGAAGAATTTTATATGGATGATACTCTGGCATATCAGGTCACCTAGGACTCGATAACACGCAAATAATCCCACCATAACTAAATCCTTTTGATAACGTAGCGTATAAATTTCTCCCTTGCAGTGGATAAGATCCATATGGCATAAACCTGGATAATAATAATAACAGCTATTAGATATTTTTGTAAAAATCTTGTTGCTCTTTTACTCTGTTAAGTAGCAGGAGATCAACAATTCGAAAATATGCAAGGTGTCCCTTATCAATACTCTATGTACTATATTGCTGTGTCAGATGGAAGTAAAGATAGTGTAAACACTCCTGACCATGGAGCTGCGCAAAGGCGGAGTTAAAATTCATGTAAAGGCAGAAAGGTTTTATTGTAAACCAAATTTCGTCTTCTGTGCCGTGGTCAGAAGTGTTTGCACTATCTCTAATATACTCTGATACATGTATAGACGACATCGCTTGCATGTTTCACGTCACATCGCTACCTTTGATGTTTAGAATTACTAACGGCGTACAAGTTAACCCGCAACCGCGGTGTCGATATTATGGATGAGATACTGGTCACACTTTACGTCGTGTACAAGATCGCTGCATGTTGCAATATATTTTTAAACTAAAAACAACTAGAGTTTGCACATACACTTACTAAAATGCTAAAATATAAATCCTCTTTTATTTTATTATACTCGTTAATATTGATATATATTTAAATATTTTAGTCGTTACTTTATAAGCTATTTAATTAAGCAATACATACATAGGACGTTAAGGTAGAATGGATTACTTTCTCCGTCACCTTCGGTATTGTACCCCACACATGTATAGTTTCCGGCGGTGGATCTTGATACGCCCTGCAGCACGAGACTTTGATTGCTTATAATTATTCCCGCATTCACGTTTATGTTCAGAATTTTTCCCTGCAATAAAAATAAATTAATATGAACAACAAAAAGAACAATAATTTGATTTTTATTAACATATTGGATATAGTACAGTGAATGAAGGTAGAAATCAACTATTATCTCCGATTACGGTGAACCTCCATCGATTTGCATGAAAATTTGGGATTGAGTATATTTTACCCTCAACTTGAATATGTCAAGTGACATATGCTTATCTTGCGCTTTTTGCATTTTGCAAGGGGTGAAATCCACCCCTTTTGTCGAAAATGGTACAATGTGCAGATTTAAGCATTCTGGCATAACTAATCTCGATTAATGAAATAAAATAAATATTTCGCAACATTTATAAGCATGATTTATGATTTTAGTATTTTTCAACCCTTTTAGCAACTATCCCTTAAATCGAAAATCATGAAAAAATCATTGTTTATATTTCTGAAATATCAAATAGCATATCAATATTACCCAAATAGTTTAATTTAATGTTTATGATATAATTTTTGATTAACTGTGAAATTTCAACCCTTAAAAACCACCCCCTTAAAGCAGAATCATTCAAAAAATTAATTTCAAGAAACTTTAATTATATAATAATACATTACTGAATTGAAATATCATTTACTGAGTATTAAAGTATTTATTTATTTATTGCGTAATTTTGCATCCATAAAAACTACCCCTTATCATAAAAATAATGGAACATGTTTTTTTATTAGCTTTAATAGCTTTAATCATTTAGAAATTTTTTTATTGGTTTTGATAAACTTTATTAATATTATTCTTTACACATTTCCTGAACAATTTTTTCAGTGCTTATGTGAAATTTAATTTGTTAGTTAACCCCCTCTGTGGCTCAGTGGTAAGAGCGCCTACCTTTGAACCTAAAGGTCGTGAGTTCGAATCTCACCTGGGTGGAAATTTTCGTTTATTAAAAATTAATAAATGAAAATAATTTCTATCCTTGTGCGATCGGTACTCACCGGAAGGACCGCAGACGTTCGGATACAATTAGCGTCTCTTAGCAAAGATAATGACGTCGACTTTGCTAAGTATCAAGACAATTACTCTACACACACACACACACCACACACACACACCCTACACTAGGTACCTGACTGTACCATGCCAATGATCATAGTTGTCGAGGCATTAACCCAATAAAAAAAAATGTTAGTTAAGAGGAAAACGTATTAAAATAAATATTAAAATATATGAAAAGTTCGTTTATTTTTTATTTAAGTAATGTGTCATAAATTATTCAAATATTAAAAGTACTTTAATTGTTAATTTTTCACTCTTTATCAGAGCTCTCTTCACCAATTTCTCATTTTTCATTAATTGGAGGGATATTTTAGTAATTGTCCCCACTGCATGATCCGCAGACTGCATTGCAAAATAATCCTACTCTTCGACACCCGCAAGAAGCACCGCACACTTTTTTGCAGTTACAAAAAATCATTTTTAAACAATTCTTCTGGAGCAGGTGGATTGGGATTTTTAGTTGGAAACAAAGACTCTTCAATTTTGCACCATCCCCAGTCAACTGGACGAATATCTTTGTTTTCAAGTCATAACTGGCTTTGTAAATAAACTCTTTTGATATATTCATCCAATGCAGCAACCGTTGGTACCAGAGATGAAAACTTTACTGCACTATTTTTAGTGGTAGCCTTAATAAAGGACTCGAAACGCATCTGTTCCAGATAAGCTCATATGTCTTCGATGCATTGTAGTTTACTCATATTCACATCTTTGGCACTTCCGTACAATAATATTGTGCAGTACTGGCAGCTTCTAAAATGGCATCGATATCAGCGGCTTTATTGCAAAATATATCGATCTTTCTTTCACCATCTTCTTTTATCTTCAAAATATACATACACACATCCACACATGTATATTTCGTGAGCATATACCTATCGACACGTTTAGGGTAAAGTGTGCAAATCGCGGTCACCTAAGAAGAAAATTTAATATAAAAAAAAGTAAAACTCTGTGAATTAAAATTTAAAGCCGTCAATCCGTAATTTGGGGTTTAAACTTATTGCAAGATACATTTAATTTCAAAAATATAAAATTTTGTCTTTGACACAGACAAAACATAAAAAAGTATCTTTGACCGGTATTGTCACCATACATGGACAATACCGGTCATGAGTGTGGGTAATGCCAGTCAATTTGTTTGTGTTATTATTAAAATAAAAATCAATATCTATTTAACATTTTTTTTGTTATAAAACGATTCACGAATGTGGCTTAATGGGTCATAATTCAAGTAAATCAGTAAGAAAGGTGAAAAAATATTTTTTATTACAAAACAAACAAAAAATAACAAAAATATGTGTTTTAATGTAAAAATAGTTGACAGTCATCGCAGGTATAACTCTCTGCAGAATCCCATCCACTGCACTCTGAATAAGCCCATCGTGAGCAAACGGTAAATATATACCACAATTCATTGTTTTGCCAAACTCGCTGTAAACCAGGCATCTATCTTCGTATGCATCGTCACTGTTATCACATGATATATCAATATCCGATTCCAAAGAACTAGAATCAAACACCTTTTTCTTGTAATGCCAATTACAAGAAAAAGGTGTTTTATTACAAGAAAAAATTATCTTGTAAACCCAAATGCTAATTTTCTCAGTTCTATTGCTGTTACGCCATAAAAAATTAAGCTAAATATTTTTTTTGTGTGGCTATTTTAGCTTCTTGTTCGGCAGAAAATACTGATTTTCTACCTAATGAGACACCTTGAAGATTTTTATTTTTTATTCTTTCTTGCAATGTCGAAAAATGGATGGATTAATCCCTAAGGATTAATAGTATAGGGTATAAATTATAGCATGGGGGTAATACCGGTCAACTGACCGGCATTGCCTCCTGTTGGCATTTTTTTTCTTAGAATTTTTTACTCGTAAACATGTATTAAAATATTGATCTTTAAAAAGGAATAGGCAGCTAACGTCATTATAATCAATTGTAACCAATTTTAAGATCTACAAGTGAATAAAAATGAATTAAGACCTTATATTACTCAGCATAAAAATAAGATCGAAAACACTGAAAACAGTTAATAATATTTCTATGACAATGGTTTGCGCCAACTCAACGCTCGTCAGCAATCTGAATACAGAGTAGTGTAGCGACACGTTGGCAGTTATAGGAGGTTGCCAGATTGAATAGATTTCGCACAATCGGGATGACCGCCATTACCCACTGACCGGTATTTGCACAGTTTACCCTACTTCTTATTAGCTATATTTTGTTTTATTATATATACATACAAAATCTCTACTCCAAAAATTTTTCTAAAACATGTTATTGCTTTTTTTTACAATAACTCCGCTAATTTTTATGATATTAGGTTCATTTACAAAACCATTTGAAAGGTAATTTCAAGGGAATATAGAAGTCGTAATTAATTTAATCTTTTAAATTCCTGATTTTCTTAAATATAAAAAGGTTAAAGGGCCCCGGTTACATGGTTCTCGCAGTAAAATATTTGTTCTTCTAAAAATTTTTTAAAGCATATTGAGTATATATGAATTTATTCTCAAAAAAAAAATGAAAATTATTGAAAATTTGAAAAATTCTGATTTTTAAATCAAAATTTTTATTCAAAAATATGCATTCTATAACCGGTCAAAATTTGTAAGGTCATTACTTATACTAAAATAAAAAAAAAATTATAGTAATTACTATAAATTTTAATTTTTGTGGAAATACCGTATGTTTTTATTTTTCACTTTTTCCAAAAAAATTCCAAACGGTCCTCTTATTTTCATCATAACTTACTTAATTTTGATGATATGAACTTCTTCTAGAGCTCATTTTTTAGGTATTTCTGAGTACTTTGAAAACTGTTCAATAAGTATATTTTCTAAAATGCATCGTTTTTACCCGTTACTTAAGCATATATCAGATTTGAGTAATCGCCGAAGAAAAATACATTTATTATATCCTATAACCAACTTTGAATTATCATTAAAAGGATTTTCAAGCAAGCAATTTATTTAATTTTTTATTAGCTTCAATTTTGGTAATAAAAACTTTTTTGTAAAAACTTATAGTTGAGTCATTAATTATAAGAAACCGCTTGGAAAAATGCAATTTTTTACGAAAAATCAAAATCTTTGAAAATAACCCAATAAATATTAATTTATTTTAATACCTTTAAAAAATAAATTTGTTTAGATTTGGTCGCTCTATCGGTTCTGGGTTAGTTTTAATAAAACAATTTCCACCTCCGAGAAGGAGTGGCATGCCACTCCGAGGGTAAAAGCTCAAGTTGACACTATGTCACTTTTGTTTCTTAAGATATTCTCTAACTACTTACCAATTTTCATGAAAATCGATGGAGGTTGAACGAAATCGAAGTGAAAACCTTCAGTGACTGTACTAATACGCTGAGACAAATTTGCGAATATTCTTGCAAATTTAATATTAGTTATAAAAAATTTTCTCCCCGGCACCAAATTCGGCCACAAATATTTATATATATATATATATATATATATATATATATAATATAATATATATTATATATATATATATATATATATATATATATATATATATATATATATAACTCAACAGTCTTCTGGGCAGAACCGCGTCAATTATCATTGTGCCAGCCTTTCGGCCTCTTTGACGTCTTTATTCAGAGCTTCCGAGGTCTCAGTCTACCCGAGCCCCCAGACACTACTACACTGATCACTAACCAATACATTACTGCTACTGGAATAAGAGGACGGTTCATTTATACCGTCGATAGTGACGTGGTTTAGGTGGAGGTTGGCGCATAGTTAGCGTGGGAATTGGCACGTGGATTGGCGCGTGGATTGGCGCGGGTGTTATCACAGCAGTTGGCGCTGGGGTTGACGAGAACATTTATGGCAGTGGGAATTTTGATTGACGGGTGAAGTGGAACAATATTTTTCTTTATGAGAGTTTTCCAAGTCAAAGGTAACCTAATCCCGTTATTGCTATTATCAAGACAATTTGGCTTT